TGTAAGAAATGAATCCCGATGTTGCACAAAAAGACACTCGGTAAGACTAAATTACCTTTGTTGTTGTTGTAAAGGGCCGTCAAGTCGGCTCCGACCCATAGCGACCCTGTATAGGGTTTCCGAGGAGTAACTGGTGAGCTTGAACTGCTGACCTTGCAGTTCAAATGGCTTTGCAGTCTGGCGCATTAAGCCACAGTGCCACATCAGGACTCCAAAATTACCTTGGACAAGGTAAAATTTACTCCTGCAGAAGGGTGTGTGTGTGTACCTGTACAGGAACAGGCCAGTGAGCACACCGAGTGGGCAGTCCATTCGGGTTTTTATCCCTGACACAAATCTTATGGCTGTGTTTCACCCCATTGGCTAGGGCTTCGACTGCACAGTCTATTCCCTTACCTGATTGGCTAATTCAAATTTCTAAGGTGCGCATTCTTCTTACTCACTTCAGCAAGCAGCAAAAAGTAAAAGAAAGGTCATACAATCCCTACTCACTTCAGGAAGAAAAAAAGAAAAAGAAAGGTCACCCGAATTCAATAAACAGGATTGTAATAATTTTGAAATAAAGACACTCATTCCCACAGTGATAGAACCCACACTACAGAGCTGTTAGGAAAGCTAAATGAGTTCACATTTGTAAACAGCTCGGAATACTGCTTGGCCCGTAACACTCGCTGAGGTAAGTTGGTTAGTACTGTAGTCGGTTCCAACTCAGAGTGACTCTGCATAGGGTTTCCAAGGAGCAGCTGGTGGGTTTGAACTGCTGACCTTGTGGTTAGCAATCCAGGGCTTATCCTACAACGCTACTCCGGGATTGTTGTTGTTGACATTTGTAAACAGTTCTGAATAGTGCCTGGACAATAACACCCGCTATGGTAAGTTAGTCAGTACTGTAGAGTTGGTTCCAACTCATAGTGACCTTGTATAGGGTTTCTAAGGAGGAGCTGGTGGGTTTGAACTGCCAATCTTGTGGTTCAACCTGACCTTGAGGTCCAGTGCTTATCCTACAGTGCCACACCAGGACTCCTATACAAATGTTTAATAAGCACACATAAATAAAATAAAATTAAGAAAAAAAGCTGTTGTAAAGGCACAGTGGGGAAGCAGGAAGAAGCATTCTTTTCCTGGTTTCTGAGTGGGGTAGGGTGGATGGGATAGGAAAGAGAAAACAGCCCCCTTTGAGAATACTACTTCAAGGGAGTGATAACTTCTGGGGGCAGCCAGGGTTCCATAAGACAGGGAGTCACAGGGGAGGTGGAGGGCACAAGAACCTCACAGATCAATCTCCAGGTTTAGGGAAAGCTTTGGAGAAAGGTGAGCGACAGGGGCTGGGCCAGATCACAGACGGGTTATATAAATATGGTCATGCTAAGACTGGACTTCCACTGAGTGAGTTTGGCTAAACAAAATCATCCGAAAGTTTCTTTTAGTTAAAAGACCACATCTTGACTTGCTTTAAAGAGCCCTGGAGGCACTGTAGGATAAGCACTGGACCTGTAACTACGGGGTTGGCAGATCAAACCCACTAACAGCTCTGCAGGAGAAAAATGACACTTTCTCTTCCTATATAAGAGTCATGACTTTGGAAAACCATATACAGGGTTGTTAGGAGTCAGAATCGACAAGATAGCAGTGGGTTTGGGTTTGGTTTTGACTCTAGTCTGCTCTGGGGTACGGTGGGAGTTTCTTCTTCTTCAGCAGCGTCTGCACACTCTCTTGGGGCCGGTCCCTGAGGTCCAGTTCTCGACAATTAGGCTCTAGTCCAATTGACAAATGATATTCCTGATCAAGGCTTCTATCCTTCCCTGCCTAGAAGTCGGAGGGAACTCAACTGCCTTCCAATCAAAATTAATTCAAAGAATATCCAAATCTTGTTCGATACAAACCTAGTGAAATGTTGACATTTACAAGGTAAAGAACAATCAGCAAACTAGAATAGAATGAAGACCTAGAAATAAACCCATGCCATGAAGAAAACCCTGGTTTATGACAAAACTGGCAAGTCAGTAAGATCTGTGGGAAAAAGAAGGAGCTAGAAAAAACTGATTGTCCATATGGAAAAGATGAGTTTGGATCATTGTATTGCAAAGATGCCAAAGTCAGCTTCAGAAGGGTTAAGGACTAACATGTTAAAACCCAAACTCTCAAACTCCTGTTGTTGTTAAACTCTGTCCAGTCAGTCCTGCTGCATAGTGACCCTGTGCACAACAGAACAAATCATTGCCTAGTCCTGCATTGTCCTCATAGTTGTTGTTTTGTTTGAGCCATTGTTGAGGCCACTTTGTTAATTCATCTCATCGAAGGTCTTTCTCTTCTTCATTGACCCTCCGCTTTGCCAAGCATGATATCCTTCTCTAGGGATTGGTCCCTCTTGGACATGTGTCCAAAGAAACAAAGACAGAAGATACAAATATCTTTTAGATCTTGGGGTAAGGACAGAATCATTAAACAAGACACACCAAACATTGACTATAAAAGATTAATTACAAAAAGACTACTATTATTATAAACTTTTGTTTATTAAAAGACACAGAAATTTCAAAGAAAGGCAACAAACTGAGAGAAGGTCTTTGCAATACATGCAACCAAACAGTGAACTGGAATCAAGAGTATATGTTGTTGTTGTTGTTGTTGTTAAGTACCATCCCGTCGCTTCTGACTCATAGTGATCCTGTATAGGGTTTCTGAGGAGCAGCTGGTGGGTTTGAACCATCTACCTTGTGGTCCAAACTGACCCTGTGGTTAAGTGTTTATCCTACGTAGTGCTATAAATAGAATAATAATAAGAAAACAACCCATTAAAAATGAGTGATGAACATAAAGAGATATTTCACGGAAGTGACGATATATATGGCTGGTAGATATTATATGGAAGTATATTCATGAACTTGCACTGGGGAAGTTTTAAAAAATTGGACCATTCACATCAAGGATCAAATCAATCCCCTCTGTACCCAGGAACAGGCAGCTTAGACATTGGCTACCTAAAATTGGGAGAGGGGCAATAAAGGTATGAAGTGGTTGGCTTACAAATTTTCAAGAGGGAGTTTAGTTTCAGGGGGCAGGGGTGCGGGGAGGCGGGCAGAGATAGAATCCCCACTGAGTCGTTTTCATCTTGTCTAGGTGGGTCTTTTGAAAGGATGTGGGGGATATGATTCTTATGATTCAGTAGTGAGTAATTGTTATCATGACTGATTGTGATTGTCACAACTGTAAATGTAGTTTTGTAACATAAATTGGGGAATAGTTAATCTTACATTCCAGGAACAGAGAACCCCAGGACTATCAAGGGAGAAGAGCATGAGCGGAATGTGGGACCCTATCCAGAGAAGCAGCGACACCAGAGATAGAGGCAGAGATGAGGACTCTAGACTCAAGGAAAGAAAAAGGCTGTTTGCTGATGGCCAGGAGGCAGGCTTACAGAATGTGCCCTTTAGTTGTTTAAATGATTATATATTCCTGAGTGTTTTGTGCCCATCAAAGCCCCTCCCCCCCCAACCCAGAGGGAATAGAAGCAAATACTGTTGAATGATGATGCATGGAGGGGATTGTAATCATTGCAATGAAACGAAATACCATAGGATGAGTGCAAAACTGATATTCTCCCATGTAAACTATCACTCGATTCACAATAAAAGCTTTTTTTAAAACAAAACAAAAAACTGGATCAGAAAACAGTGACCCTGAAACAAAAGACTGACCAGTACATCCACGTGATTGAGTTCAGTCGTCCTCTCTCCTGAGTTGTCTGCCTTGGGGCATTGAGCAGGGTCAGTGCTTGCTAAATTATGAATGAAACGGGCATTTGTAGTAGTCTTTATAGGGTGTTGCTTTGAGTCAGGACCCACCCAACAGAACTCAGGTACAACAACGATGAAGGGTATAAGGAGCCTTGGTGGCACAGTGGCTAAGCGCTCATCTGATAACGGAAAGGTCGACAGTTCAAACCCACAAGTGCTCCACTGGAGAAAGACCTGGAGATCTCCTCCCGTAAAGGCTGCAGTCCCAAGCCTTTAAAGGGACAGCTCTGCTCTGGCCTTTAGCGTCACTGACACTCAGAATGGACTTCATGGCAGTGGGTTTGGTCTTGTGATTTTACTTAGGTTGTTAATGTTATTTCCTGGTACGTGGACGTTTGGAATGTACTCATGGTGGACCCCAAAAGAAAGAATTCATGCTGCTTTGTTTTATGTTCTCATCTGTTAGGTGAATTATGCATTTTTGAGTCTGTCAACATTATTGAGGGAAATGGTACTGAAAAGATTTTCTCAAGGTATCTGGCAAACCACTGCCTCCCTCTTGAGTTCTTGGGTCTGTGAAAAGCAGCAGGAGTGGGGGAGGGCTCACAGCTCTCTGAGGAGACTCATATACTGAGCTGCTATTGAAGCAGCCCCCACCTGCACACCCCGTGCATAAACAGAAGCAGGCATAGACTTGGTGCTGGAATAACATGAAGTTGAAGGCCAGCTGGGTGGCCTGGCTGCTGGAGCCAGGATTCCCATGTACATTAAGAGCTGCTTCTGGACCATTTTGAATGATTGACTCAACTCTGTGGAGGGGCCAAGGTGAAAAGTCTCTGGATGTTGGGAACCAACCTCTACAATTGAAAATGATCTCAGCCACAAACAGCGTGCGGGAACGTGGAGACGGAAAAGAGGCTCTCGTCAAGTGAGACGGACTCCCCAGATGACTGTGTTCTTAACGTAGAGATTGCCGTTCCTAGGTGAACTTGTAACTTTCCCAGCTCCACGTCATGCTCTGTTGTGTCTCACCTGTGCGTGCTCTCACGGACCCCAAATTACTTACAGACATCCGCATAAATCGTGGCTTATGCACTTGTCTGCATTATCTGTGTGGTATTATGAATTGTTCTGTTCACACCAAGCTTGTTTCATGGATCAAACGGTTTAATTACTTTTTAAACATGTATTGAAGAATAGCATACATGTGGAAAAATCCTACATGTATCACCGTTTTCACCAATCTTATTTTTCCCTTTAAAGGGTGTATTGAGAATTAATCCAAAGAAGTTTCATGAAGCCTTCATTCCTTCGCCGGTAAGTTCAATAACTTTATAATAAACTTCATGTCACATTGAATTTTTTAGATGTGCTCTGAAACTGAAACCAAATATCCTAACTAAAAAGCAGAGAAGTGAACCAGAATTGAGGATGGGCAAGGATTCGTTTCAAGTTTAAATAAACAAGTCTGCCTCTGGGTGAGCAACCTCTCTGCCAGTCGTCAGAGCACGCTGAAAACAAAAGGGGTGGCGGCTGTTTGGGGCCTGCAGAGAGCAGCCAGCCTCAAGCAGACACCCACCAGCTTGTGTAATTGGATGCCCTTGATTTATAACTTTAAGGGATTTATGGTTTTTTCCACTGATGATGGTTAATCTTTCCTAAAGAAATACGCTATCTACTTTAGATCGACTGCATGAGCTAATCAGCAGATCTGTCCAAAAATAACGTGTAATGTGGTTTATTTTGGGCCAGGACTTCTCACTTCATGCTGTGCAGGTGATGGGACTTGGTACAAGGCTCTTTACCGCTGGCTCTTTATACCCCTTTTCTATGCTTAGGCCTTGTTTCAAAAGCCTTCCTCTAGCTAAGGCAAGTGCTGTCTGATACAGAGCTCACGCCGGGTCACTGGGTACATACAGCTTGATTGTCATCGCCGCAAGAGTGAGGTTATTAAATTCTGACCGAACTAGCCCAGGATACCATAGGATCGTTGTAGTATCAGATTTTTCACTGTAGCAGAGACCACAGGGGATAGATGATATAGTTAAGTGACGTTGAGTCGGTTCCAACTCCTAGCAACTCTGTATAGGGTTTTTGCGAGCCGCTGGTCTGTTTGAACTGCCAACCTTGTAGTTACCAGTCCAGAGCTTATCCTACAGCATCATCTGAGGAAATTAATACAGGTATTTCAGTTAACATTTTTATTATGTTACATGAGAAATTTTGTTGTTGTTAGGTGCCATCAAGTTGGTTCCGATTCATAGCGACCCTGTGTACAGCAGAACACAACAGTGCCGTGCGTTGCTCCTTCCTCACAGTTGTTATCTTTGAGCCCATTGTTACACCCACTGTATCAATCCATCTCATTGAGGGTCTTCCTATTTTTCATGGACCCTTCACTTTACCACCAAACATGTTGTCCTTATCCAGGGACTAGTCCCTCCTGACAACATGTCTGAGGTACACTTTGGTCTTCTGCTTCAGAGATGTTATTAGTACACAGACTCCAAGACCTGTCATCAGGCGCCCTTTAGTCCTTTGTTTTTCTGCCTTCCAGAGCCAAGGGATCCAAGGGACTAGGTAAAAAGTGTTACGGATATGCCCCATTGTTTCCTTTGAGTCATGTCTGTTTCTGTGACAGACCTGGTATATTTGTCAACCCTTGTCCTTTTTGGGATTGTTGGATTCAGGCGTCAACTTTGAGGTAGTAACTTAGCTGCAGGAGCAGGTCCATCAGGCCATGAAAGCGAGTTTGCACACAGGTGAATCTCATATAAAGGGGCCATAAATTTTACCCTGCAAAATCTCCTCAGAAGTTGCTATGTTGGAGAGTGATGCACTGTCTCTCAGTAGGTGCAGCCTTTCCTCCACATGAGAAAGAATGACTTGTTTCTTCAGTGGTGTACCACATGATGGAGGAGGCTGCCACCTGGCAGCTTGCTTAAACCATGTGGAAACCATGTCTGACTTCCCCTGGCTTCACAAGGCGGGAAGAGAATCAAATTCAAATCAGCTGAAGGCCGATTCCTATAAGCGGAGGTCAGGCATGCTTTCCCCCTACAACCTTCTTTCCCCTATTCTGACACCAGCCATCCCTCCCCCCACAGCACTGTCTGCTTCACTTCTGGGTTCAATAATCCATTGCAATGCCCACACAGAGCACGTAACAGTACTCTGGACTATGGGACTTATTAAGGAAGTGACCAGGGTACAATTCAGCATCGTAATAGCTCAGGACGCAGCAGTTCTCCAGTCAGGAAGGCCTTTTGTCTGCAATACTGCAAGCACGCCTCACTCTTGTCTCCAGCCTCTCAGCCATATAGTCCCTTGGCTTCTGCCCTGCTCCGGCAAGTGTTACAAAGTTCACTTAGCCAGGCTGTGAATGCCGAAAGGGCACATTCTTCAAGCCAGTCTCCTGCCCATAGGCATTCAGCTTTACTCAGTCCATGGGTCTAGAGCCATAAGCTATTCTGTCTCCATGCCGCTGCCTCTGCTGTTACTATTTCTCATGCTTCACTTATGTTCTTCCTTTTTAATGGTCCTGGAATCTTCTGTCTCTCTTTTTGAGATGGCTCCTTTAAACCTAGCTGGAGGGCAAAACTAGCCAATCCTGTGTACCTTATTTGCATGTCCCATCCGATCACTTGGTTAGAATTAAGAAGACATGATTGAAAAGCCAGATCAAGTCAATTCAAGGTACCACACAGGTATGTTTTTTGTGTGTAATGTTTTATTGTGAATTATATGATAGTTTACATGGGAGAACTTTAGTTTTATATTCATTCCATTTTATATCATCTCACTGCCATCGTTCCAATCCCCTCCATGCATCATCAACCACCCAAAGGGTATATCCCAGAAACCCGCCCCCTACACTTCCCCCTCCTCCCCCCAGTTTTCGGCCCACAGTCCCTTTCCCTCTCTGGGTCCAA